CTAACATAATAGGGAGCACAGACTCAGACCCACAGGGCCATGTAGGCTAAAAAGTCCTAGCTTCATTCCGGAAACGGTGGGCACACCCTGAAGAGATTCAAGCCAGGAAGTAACATGACCAAAATTTCATTTTAGGAAGATCATTCTGACTTCCACTTAAAGAATGGACTAGGGAGGAATTGAGCCCAGAGTTGGGGAGGTAAGTTAACAAGCAGCTGAAGTGATGCCAAGGACAGGCAGGAGATCATGGTGACTTGGACCTTTGGCAGTGGCAGCAGAGGTATCAAGAAATAGTCAACTTCAAGAGACATTTAGGAGGCCAAGCAACACACCTCACCATCATTGTTGCCCCCACACTAAAGCCAGTTCCCACCTGCCACCCCATCCCAAATGTATTCTCTTTTTCTCTCTGGCCACCAAAAAAGCAAATCCTCCCTAATCTTTGAGGCACAGTGCATGGCAGTTATGCACACAGAATGGTTCACAGTACGGGATCAAATAAATGTTCCTTTCCTCCCTCAAGAAAGTCTTCTCTGAATGCTCCGGCCCACACCTAAGCCCCAATCCTGAAATGTGAAAGCCAGGAACAATACTGGCACCCTCCTCCCCATCTAGGGTAGGCTGGGGGTCCTGTGTCGGCAAGCTGTTGGCAACTCTGAGAGCAGCAATACTTTCAGTTGTATGGGTGTACATGGAAAGTTGTATTTAACTAAGGTTGTGGTTTTGCTAAGAGCATACGACAAATGAAAGAGAGGCAAGGGAGTTGAAGGTGAATGCAAGGGAGTGAGTACAAAGGCTGACCATGGAATTGAAGCTGGCATGAGAAACTTTATGCGCTGCTCATAAATATTCCAATTGTCCAAACCTACCTCTTCACCTCACTTCTGGACATGGGGCAGAAAAAGCACTTTTCTGTCCACTTGAGGTTGGGTATGGCCATGTGACTAGTTCTTGCCAATGAGATGGTAACAAATCCTACCTGGAGCATTTAATTGCCAACAAGACCCCGCCAGAATTCTCTTTTCCCTCTGGCATAGAGACCAGCATTATTTGAGATGGTGGCTGTATTAGTCCATTTTTCTTGCTTATAACGAAATACCTGGAACTAGGTAATTTGTAAAAAAAAAAATGAAATGTATTGCTTACAGTTTCTGAGGCTGGGAAGTCCGAAGGCCACGTGGCAACAGTGACCGAGGGGTCTCACATTGCAAGATGGTGGAAGCAGAGAGAGCTCCTGATGTGCTTTCCTTTTAAAGCACTTAGAACCACGCCCCTGATCACCATTATTAATCTATTCATTATGGCATGATCCTACAATCTGATCACCTCTTCAAGGCCCCACCTTTCAATTGCCATAATAGAATTTCCCACCCTCAATAGTTACAGTGGGGATAAGCCTCAACGAGGTTGGGGGTGGGGGCATCCAATATACAGCAATGGCTTTTCCATTAGCCTGGGCCTCTAAGGGACTATAATAAGCAGAGCCCCCTGTTGACCCACAATGTTTAAGTAGAATGAATAAGAAAACCTTTATTGTGTTAAAGCTTAAAATGGAAGCCACTGAAATTTGGGGATTGTTTGTTACTGCAGCACCACTTAGCCTATCCTGATATATAGCTGGAAGAAAGGACATTAACAGGGACAGAGATAATGCAAAATGTAGAATTAATAGATTGCAGTTCCTGGTGCTGAAGGATTGATGGAGTCAAAATACGAGAGAAAATAACTGGAAAAACAGGAAGTGTTGTTTAGAAAATTAGATTCATGGCAAGGTCTCAGGTATGCCCATGGGAGTGAGTGGCTAAGGTGGACAGAGGACAAAATCTTTGAAGGAAGGACAGAAACTAAGACGGGAGAGTGTTGGAGGTACAGAAACTAAGAGGACAGAGTGTTGGATTTCAGTATCTCTGTGTATACTGAAATCCACAAAGATTAAGATGGTAAAGCAATGTTGGAGTGGGTGACAGCCAGAAGCTAAAAATCTTATTGTTCCTCTCCCTGCAACCAAGTTACAAATGCCATGAAGGAAGGGACTTTTGTGTTCACTTCTGTGTTCCCAGTGCCTGGTGCAGAGAAGACACGTAGTAAACATTTGCTAAATGAATGACTGGATGAGGAGGAGAGTAGTATACCATACACTCCAACTAGTAAATCTAACTCAGGGGAGAGAGTTTCCTCCAGTTCTTACTTCCTTGATTCTATTTTGCAGCGAATTTCTTCCCCAGACCAAGGTGGCTGTTTTCCCTTTGTTCGACCTCGAGTTTGCTTTGTTTTGATCTATCTTGTTGTTGCCAGAAGTCTCAAAGAGTTACTTTTTAAACACATCCCTAGCGACCTGCATGCTGGCAGCTCCCCCAAATACCTTCCCCCACATTACCAAACACTGGTGTTGCTCTCTCCTCTGTCTTGTCCCCTGTTCCCACAACCAACTCCATTGCCAAATGTCTTCCATTCTTTCTCCAGACATATCTCAAATTAATCCCCTGCTCTACACCCCACAGCCACTGTCCAGTCCAGGTTCTCCATCCCTCCCCTGGCCTGTAACTGTTTCCTCCTAATCTCCCTTTCTCTCTTTGCTTCTAATACCTCTGTGTTAGTTATCTATTGTTGTGCAACAAATTAACTTAAAAAGTAGTTAAAACTTAAAACCACAAACATTTATTATCTGGTTAGGAATCTGGGTGTGGCTTAGCCAGATGCCTCTGGCTCAGGACCTCTCAGGGTGGCTGCAATCAGGTGTTCATTGGGGCTGCAGTCATCCGAAGGCTTGCCTGGGGAAGGATGCCCTTCCAAGCTCTCTCACATAGCTGTTAGAAGGCCTCAATTCCTTGCTGACCATTGGTCAGAGTCATCAGTCCCTTAACACATAGGCCTATCCACAGGGCAGCTTACAACATGGCTGACATCTTCCCTAACAGCAAGTGAGCAGAAGAGCAAGAGAAGATGCCCAAGACAGAAGCCAGCCTTTTTGTAATCTAATCTCAGAAATGACAACCCACCACTTCTAACATATTCTATTCATTAGAATGGAATCAATAAGCCCAGTCTCCATACTCAAGGGGAGGGAATTACATCAAGATGTGAATACTGGAGTGTGGGATCATTGGGGACATCTTTTTTTTTTAATGGCTGGCCGGTATGGGCATCCGAACCCTTAATCTTGGTCCTTGGTGTTACAAGGCTGCGCTCTAACCAACTGAGCTAACTGGCCAGCCCTGGGGACATCTTAGAGACTTGTGGGATCATTGGGGACATCTTTTTTTTTTAATGGCTGGCCGGTATGGGCATCCGAACCCTTGATCTTGGTCCTTGGTGTTACAAGGCTGCGCTCTAACCAACTGAGCTAACTGGCCAGCCCTGGGGACATCTTAGAGACTGCCTATCACCCTCTTCATTGCTTCCTAGTGCACTGTCTGAAACGCAAAGCTGACCTCCTCTCTCCCCAGCTCAGAAATTCTGATGACTTTCTGATGCCTCCAGGGCATAACCCTTCATAATATGATCTCCATTCCATTCTTATCTCCCATCCTGTACTCCAGTTCCCAAGAGTGGACTCTAAATTATTATTTACACCACGATTCCCTAGTCTGGAATGTTGCCCTCAATCTCCCCAGAGTTTTCTGCCTGGATAACTCCTACTCATCCACCAAGACCTGCTGCTTCTGCCAAGTCTGTTCTAACAAGGCAGTTATGTCTACCCCTAATCAGACATAACTCCTTTGGCACTGTCTGCTTTCTACTCACACAGCACTTACCACACCAAATCACAAATACCTCCACTCAGATATCTCACAGGATCTCAAATTTAAGATGTTCAGAAATTCATTTCTACTGATTTTGCTATTAATGGGATTTAGCAGGAAATGAATCTTGAAGCCATCCATTCTGACTTCTCCCAGAAGCTCTGCCCCTGGCTTGAGGAGCAAGTTATAGAATCTAACCATCTTCATAAGAGTTAGTTAAATGCCCAGAGAACAGTCATTTGGTTAATAGGATGTTACTGAATAAATACATACGCTGCTATAAAGGCAATTATGGTCATCACAGGCTTCCTGTAAGCACAGGAAGAGGGTTAGGTTGGTATAGTGATTGAGAAGTCCTTCAAAGTAGGCAGAGACACTTCCCAACCTGTCTCCACTAGTTACTATCTGTTCCAGGGAAATTACTTCATATCTAGGCCTCAATTTCCTAATTTGTAAATGGAAGTAATTTTAAGGATAGCGCGGTTACTAAGGAGTATTAACCCTTAGAACCGTGGTTATGAGGTAAGTACTATTATCCCATTTTACAGACGCAGAAACTGTGGCACAGAGTAATTTGCGCCAGGATACATAGCTAGTAACTGGCAGAACCAGGATTCCAACACAGGCGGTGAGGGGTCGGAGTCCGTGCCATGATATCCTCTTCACAGGACCGTGTGCATTAAATGAAACCATGCGAGTGAAGGGCGCGGGCAGGGCATGACAGACAGTAAGTACTCGATTATTTTGAAATGGAAAACATCTTAGCATGGAAATCAAGACTTCGTTCAAAGCCCCTGATTTTCTGCGTGAGCTCAGCTGGTGTCCTCTCTCAGGTATGAAATGAGGACACTGAAGACAAATCTCCGTAGATCCACACAGTTTTCCGGTTCTTTTACTCTAGTATCCTCCTAATTTCCAAGTGGAAGCGGAAGTAACTGATGGGCCAGGAGCCCACAGCCAGTGTTACCCAGGGATTCCCAGGTCGCCACCTTCCCACGGACCTTCCGTCTCAGGTTGACCCCTTTCCCGTAGGAGCCCTGCCCTCGGCGAAGATTCGGTTTCCCATTGGCGGAGGCTGGGGGGGGCGGAGCTGCGTCTCTCCATCTTTCGACCAATGGACTCCGCTATTTCCGCCTGTGTCTTTGGTAAAGTTAGTCCCTCCTCCGAGCCGGCAGAGGGCGCAAGAGCCCGTAGCTCAAAGCCTAGGAAGTTCTGGGATGCGGACGTGACGTCACGCCACCGGAAATCCGCGGCGTTCGGGGATAGGGGTCGTGATGGGGGTTTCCGACGGCTGGAAGCCGAGCAACAGTAGTTCAGAGCACCGTTTCCACCCCCGCCAGTCTCATATGCTCAGACGAGAAAACTGACGCTCCCGGAGGAAGAGACTTCTCATAATCACTCAGCGAGAAACTCCCAAGACCAGCGCGCTTTCCCCACGACTCCTCAGAGCGGAGGGACAACACCTGGGGGAGTTTGCTCCTCCTGAGGGGTCCCTGAGGCAAGTCTCAGAAATATTCCCGTTGCACAGATGGGGAAAACGAAACCCAGAGAGGGACATCCCGCGTCCGGGGTCTTGCTGTTGGGTTCGACGAGACGGAGAAAAGGGAGAGAGAGAGAGACCCGAGCCAAGCGCTGTTTCAGCCAGGAGGGGAGACTGAGTCAGGTCGGTTCTCCTGAACAAAGGAAAGCAGGCGTTTATAAGCCTTTGAGGGTTCTGACAGAGTAATGGGCAATTTCGAAATCAGTAGTATGCAAGGTGACACAGCCCTTGTTGTCTGCTAACACCTGGTCGGTTAGGGCATAGGCTTCTAATTAGTGTCGTTACCATATCAGTGCAAAGCGCTCCAGCCCGAACCCTGCTCCCGCAGCACACAAGACGTTCCTTTGATGATAATGGTCATGTTTACCCCTTCCCAGGAGAGGAATTTCGCTGCTCAGTTCCTGGAGCAGAAAAGGGAAAGGGGAGGGGGAGAAGGGGGAAAGATGCTTAACCTGGCTGTGCTGATGTTAAGCTAGCCACGAGGCCTAACATTTGCCAGAGTAGGATTGCCAGATTTAGGAAATAAAATGCAGGACGCACAAAGTTTGAATTTCAGATAAACAGGAGTAATGTTTTAGTATAAAATATCCCAAATATTGCATGGGACATAACGTATACTGAAAAGTTACCCGTCGTTTATCTTAATTCAAGTTTAACTGGCTGAGGGCCGGCCTGTGGCTCACTCGGAAGAGTGCGGTGCTGATAACACCAAGGCCACGGGTTCGGATCCTATATAGGGATGGCCGGTTCGCTCACTGGCTGAGCGTGGTACTGACAGCACCAAGCCAAGGGTTAAGATCCCCTTTCCGGTCATCTTTTAAGGAAGAAAAAAAAAATTAACTGGCTGTCGTGTATTTATCTAGCTATCCTACCCCAAGGTCACCTAGCTGCGTGGAAGAGAGGAAAGAGTTATTGAGGCAGCCTGTATGCCTCCCTGCCTAGGTCTCAGTAGTATGTCAAGCTGGGTTCTTCCTAAGTGTAACCCTGAGGTTTTTGCAGGGCCCTCAGCCTGTTCCAGTGGTTTCCCCACTGTAGGATCTAGGCCTATTCAGGAGCTGAGGAGAAGGGGCCAGATGCCCCTCCCCTCAGGATTTAGGGGCACCTCCCACCTTCCAGAAATGGTTTATTCAAAAGACACTAAGCACCTACTCTGTGCCAAGCACAAATCCAGACTCCAGGTCACACTAGCAAGTAGGAGAAACACTGCTTGTCTTTGGAATTAACACATGTGCAGGAAAATGAGAGAGAAAAATTACAGTATGTTGCAATCAACAGTTATTTAATAGAGGTAAATACAGGATGCTATGAAAGCCGAGAAAAACAACACCTAACCAAGGCATTAGAAAGCAGGAAAAAAGGGAGAGTTACCCAAGCTGAAACCTGAAAGATTCATTCCTTCATTCAACAATTATTTCCTGAACATCTGTATGTAGGGTAGTATTCTAGGCACTGTGGATACAGCAGTGAACAAAACAAATCTCTGCCCTCAGAGCTTAATTCTAAGTAAAATGTATAGCTTGTTAGATGGTGATCTATGGGATAAAAAAGGCTAAGAAAGAGATTATGGGATGCTGGGGTGGGAGTGGAAGTGTTAAAGTTTTAAAGAGGGTGATCAGAAATGCCTCACTGGGAAAATGACATTTCAGCAAAGACTCGAAGGGGTGAGGGAGATCTATGGGGATGTCTGGGGTTATAAGGAAGTGTGCCTGACATCTTATAGGAACAAAAAGGGGGCATGATGTGCTGGCCTCCGATAGTATGAGAGCTTTCTAAGGGATTTTCAATGATAATTTTGACCATGTGTTTCTTGCCTTAAATATTGTCTTTAGAACCTAATTCTTATAAAATGTGAATCCACATAACTAGGTGAGGGCTACTTTGGACAGGGTGTTCAGAAAAGGCCTTCTTGAGAAGGTGACATTCAGGCTGAGGCCTTTAAGATGAGGGTGAGCCGGCCCTGGAGAAGCTAAGGGAACAGCAAGGGCAAAGCCTTGGAGACAGGAAAGAACTCAGAAAATGTGAGGAACTGAAATGCGAGAAGAGTGGCACGAGATGAAGTCGGAGAGGTGGGCAGGGGCGTCAAGCAATTTAGCTTTTATTGACATCACATGGGAATCAAAGGGTTTTCGGCAGAGGACTGACAAGATCGGATTCATGTTTCAAAAAGATTCTTCTAACTGTTAGGAAGCTGTATCAGATAATTTTACTGGTTGAATTTACGCAGGCTTAGCTGCTCATCCCAGAGGTGCCGAGAAGAGGGTTTCAAATGGAGCAAAGGGGTAAGTGGAACTCCCATCCTATTGCCTCCCCTGTGGTCCCTTTACAGCTGGAATGAGCTGGTTTAGGCAGGTGGGTTTCCTCGGTGGAGGATGACTCCCACCCAGAGAGTCATCATCTCCCTTCTGAGCAAGGGTGGAAAGAGTTAACAACTTGTGTCCCTCTGACCCCCAGCAGGCTCCCTAGCTGGGTTTGCCTTTCACGGGCTGGGGTGGGGGTGAGGGGTTACAGAAGTACAAGCTACCACCAGCCCACTAGGTCTCACTCTGCCTCTTTTGAATACGCTTTCAATTGTCTTCACAAAGGTCCTGTCATGCTTCTACTCCAGAAGCATATAAGGATCTCTACTGCCTGCAGAATTAAGTTCAGACTCCTAGCTCTGTCATTCAAGGCCTTCTATGACCACACAGCACTGTGAGCTCCTGGAGCACTCACAGGGACCCATCTGTGCATCACCAAAGTCAACTATAGGGCATGGCCACAATAAGTGCTTAGTAAGTGCTCAAAGAATTACCTTTCAATATCATTTATTGAGCACCTAATCATATACTAGGCCCTGGGCTGAGTACTTTATACTCGTTTTCTTACTTAATCCTCCGAATAACCCTCTCAGGGAAATGTATTTAGCACCCATGTTTTACAAGTGAGTAAACAGGTTCAGACAGGTAAGAGCTATGTTTATTTGTTTGTCCATTTGGCATATAGTTCTTGAGCACCTGCTCTGTTTAGCTGATGAGGACACAGCAGTGAAAAAATAAATAAGGTTCCTGCTGCCAAGGAGCTCACATTCTAGAGGGGCTGACAGATGACACACAAACAAACATGTCATAGAGTATGTTGAATAGTGACTGGTGCTGTGAAAAAGAAAACCAGTTACGGGAAAGGAGGGATACTGAGAATTGCTGTTTTCTAAAGGGTGATCCAGGAAGGCTTCACCTAAAGAAAACATTTGAGCAGAAACTGAACGAAGTGAGTGAGCCCCACAGATAGCCTGGGAAGATCATTCTAGAAAGAGGGGACAGTAAATTCAGGCCCAAGTGGAGAGTTTGAGGAATACAGAGGAGGCCAGTGTGGCCGGAACCCAATGAGGGGGGCGGGGAGAGTGGGAGTCAGAGAGGTAGCTGGGTGAGGACTTTAAATTTCATTCTTGGTGAACTGGAATCACAGAAGTGGCAGCACCCGGCTGCTGAGTGGAGAGTAGACTGTGGAGGGGAAGGAGGGAGGCCAGTCCTGAGAGGGAGGGGATGGAAGCTCGGTCTGGGGCAGTAGCAGGTCTGTTAACCTCCCAGAGTGAGTGAATGAGCTCACATGAGGAGCTTTGAGAGAGGTGCAGGAGAGATGTGGGGAGGTGCTGGGAGGAGGTCCTTTCAGGTGAGGTGAGCAGGATGGGTCTGTGAGAGGCCGACAGGAGAGTCTGACTTCTGAGTTAGCCAGATGGTATGAGGGGTCATGAAAGAAGTGAAGACCTGTGCAGCCAGGGCTCCAAGAGATCTCTGGTCAGGTTCCCCTGCACAGGCCTGAAGCCCCTTAACATTCTCCACATTTTATGTCTTTTTCTTCTTTCTCTTCAGAAAAAGATGGAATCAGAAACAAAAACAAATAAAAGAAATGACTGTTAACTCGTACTCCCATGTAAGTCAAATCAAGTTCTGTGTATGTGTTTCTCACAAAAGTACATTTCACATTCTCATAGCAAATGAAACATGAAACACTGGAGAGGCTCCCATGAGAAATCTATTCAAATTCCATACCAGCTGCTGTCACTTCAGAAGCCACAGAGGCCCACCCCAGTGAACCTGCCTCAGATGAGGTCATGAGTTATGCCTGAATCTCACTGCAGCCAGCCGTGTCTCCCCAGAGCTCCTTCCGCCTTTGGCAGCACATGCCCAATTCCAGCAGAAGAATCTGTCCCCCCCCCCCCCCCCCCCCCCCCCCCCCCCCCCCCCCCCCCCCCCCCCCCCCCACCCCCCCCCA